AGAAGATAAGTTCTAATTATTATAATAAATAAATTTCTTAATAATTATGAATAGAATAATAAAATCAAATAAGAGAAATACTAAAATTCATAAAATCTTTCAGATTTTTTGTATAATTGTAAGTAAATGTGAGAATAAAAAGATAACTTCTAATTATTATAATAAATAAATTTCTTATTAATTATGAATAGAATAATAAAATCAAATAAGAAAAATACTAAGATTCATAACATAATTATTATTGGGTCATTCCTTGATTTTAAATGGAGGATTCAATTAATAAAGGAAGTTCAGAAGTGTGAAATTTTAATGGAATGAGTTTTTTTTTAAAAGAATTTAATATTTTATTTAAAATAAAATTTAATAAATAAATTAAAACAACTCCTTTTTAAGAAAGGGCAAGCATGACAAATAAATTACAAGAAATGCAAGTAAATCAATTCACTGCCTGTCTTCTTTCCCACTATATTTTCCACAGGTGGAACCGTCCAAGAATTGAGAACTTCTACAATACAAGGGGGATACCCGCTGATGTGGTATCCCCATCCAATAAGAGAATGCCAGCAAATTAAATTAAAATACCTCATTATTCTATAAAGACAATTCAGAATTTCATTCAAGGGAGAAATTCTCCGTTAGATCCCCTAAGCTTTTCTTTCCTCCCCTCTCCTGTCCCCTATTTCATCTCCTTAGTTTTCTTTCTTTCCCAAATCTCCCCTCTTCGTTGCATTTTTTTTCACCCACGATTTCAAAATAAAAACAAGAAATCATTTTTTTTTTTTTTTTGCAACATGTCAATTGTGCTTATTTGAATAAACTTTCAAATTAGTAAGTTCAAAATATAAAAGGGTCTTGTGCCGTTTGCCCCTCTTCTCCCTTGAAGGGCGTTTCTCTTTCTTTGTCCTTCCTTATAATCCCAAATAAAACTCCTCACTAATAGAAACTTTATTGATGGCCAGAAAAATAAAGGCATAAACTTTATGGAAGTTTCAGATTAGATAAGGAGAGAAGAATCTGAGATTTTAACTTGATTAGAATGGAAGAAATGATCTAGAATACCATAAAAAAAAAAAAAAAGGGGGAAAGAAAGAAAGAAAAAGGGTAGAAGATGCTGGGATTTGAAAGGAGTTAGCATTAAAAATTACCCAAAAAAGTTAGCATTAAATATTACCCAAAAAAGTTAGCATAAAAACGATTCCTGCTTCCTAATGACCCGAACCCATCAGTATCAATTTAATTACCCAAGTTTTACGGATCTTCTTCGTTCCTAGAATGGAGGTTCGGAGAGAAATTGATGGCGTGAGGCAAATAGATTTACAAAGTAATTTGATGTATTAGGCTTGGGAGCAATGGAAAGCAGAGATAGAAATTTACCACCTACCCAATGACAACCAACTCTTTGGCAGAATCCCATCAGAGATAGAATAGTTATTAGATCTGAACCAACTTAGCTTGGCAAAACAATCTGACTGGATCAATTCCCAAGTTGACCAATTCCAAACCAACTTGGGAATTGCTTCAATTTATTGAGATTGAACCTGAGCAACAATCTAATTGGGAAAAGTAATCCATCTGAAATAGGCAAAATATTTTCCCTTCAAACTCTTGATTTGAGTTGGAATATGTTAACAGGAGAGATTGCACAAGAGCTTGGAAGATCACGTGTGTTGGAAACATTGAATCTTTCTCATGATATGTTAAACATCTCTTATAATCAGTCAGAGGGCCCTATCCCACCTACTAAAGGTTTCCTTCTTGCCCCATTTGAGGCTCTTAGAAACAATAAAGGCCTCTGCGAGAACGCCATTGGCCTCCCACAATGTGTATCCAAAAGTCAGAAGAAAAGCAACATTGGACTTGTGATTTTAATCATTACACCAGTTTTAGGCGTTCTATCTCTGTTAGTCATTTTGGTGGGGTTTCTACTTATGCATTATAAAAAATCTGAGATAAGAGAGTGGCAATTTCAAGATATCTTTGCTACAGGGGATATGATGGGGAAATCCTCTATGAAAACATTCTTGAAGCTACAGAGCAATTCAACTCTAACTATTGCACTGGTTAAGGATATGGAAATGTTTACAAAGCCCGACTGCCAACAGGTCGAGTTGTTGCGGTCAAGAAACTCCATCCATCAGATGACAATCAATCTATCAAGTTGTGCACATTTGGAAGCGAGATTGGTGTTTTAGCAGACGTACGATTGCCAAAGTCATATTCAACAATAAGTCTAGGAGCTTTGATTGGATATGGACATGGGATGCAGGGCTAAGGTGCTTGGATATTCATCATAATTTTAGGTGCGTGTCAAGTGCATTATTTATCTTTCTAGTCCTCCTCTCTTAATAAAAATAATTTCGATAATTTGTTTTCTTCTCTTCGTGATAAACTTCTAAATCTGTTTTCTTTGCTTCTCTTGATGCTATTTTGTTGGCACAATAGAATATTATATAACAATAATACAGGCTGCGAGGTCTAATAAAAAACTTGAAAAAATATGGATGTGTTATCATGTGTTCTATCTACATTTAACCTAAAGATGAATGGGACTACTTTTTCCAATAAATATGAAATGTAGTTAAACTGCGAACTGCATGGACTGTTACACTCTTTTTCGTTTGTTGCAACTTATTAGGTTTTTTTTCTTTTCAATATATTAATATTGCATTTTAGCTCATCTCTAGTGGCATGTTGGTTGCATCTCAATTACAACCAACCTGTTGTCTTGCATATGACTTTGACTGGGATTGGTTCAAATGTTGAAGAATCGGATCCACAGTAACTGATGATAATCGATCTTAATATAGCCTTGTTCATAGCACCTAAAAAGCTCTGTTTAATCTTCACTAACGAAACCAACATAAGGTAACATCTTCTTGATCATCATCAGATTCAAGATCAAATTGTTCATCTTTCATTAGACTCCAAACTGCGTCACTGATTTGAAGTGGACCCAATGTCAGAGAATGATCAACAAATAAATTCACTAGTTCATGATCATATATATATATATAGAGCACATGTGCCATCATTCACTAAATCACTATCATTGTTTGATGGCACTCAAGCGGATGAAATGGATTGTTTTGGTATATATCAAGTAAAATATACTCTTAATACTATGGGAATACATGCATTTCATTAACTTCATCAACTACATCATTATAAAATGGTAGGTTAGGGTCTGTTTTCTTATTTTCGAGCAAGCGAGCGAGCAACCTCCTATATATCCAAACAAAAGTGACCTCACTGAAATAGTTCCATAATGTTTAATCAATGTTATCAATCTTCCCATACAACAAAAGGTTCAAAAGGTTCAAAAAAAAAAAAAAAGGTAAAATGAATCAAAAACTCCATTTCCACATTGGTAAAAGCCAAACAACAAACTTCAATCCAAGAAGAGTAAGTGACACACTTACCAACCAAAATAAACAATTCGAGAGAAAAATTCAACAAATTTGTCACCTTTCCCAACCGTTGGGGGCACAACGACATATATTTAGGTATCTATTTTCTTTCATTGACATAATTTCTACTAATTTCTACCCTTAACAACCAAAATAAACAATTCGAGAGAAAAATTCAACAAATTTCCCACCTTTCCCACCCAGAGAAAAATTCAACAAATTTGCCACCTTTCCCACCCGTTGGGGGCACAACGACATATATTTAGGTACCTATTTTCTTTCATTGACATAATTTCTACTAATTTCTACCCTTAACAACCAAAATAAACAATTCGAGAGAAAAATTCAACAAATTTCTCACCTTTCCCACCCCTTGGGCCCTCTCAATAACGCGTTTTAATTATTAATTTCTACTTTCCACACGTTAATGACGGTTAACATGTGAAAAGTAGAAAATTGTAAGCATGTCTTTTTGGAATTATTATATATCTCAGACAAAAATGAGAGAGTAAATTGTCCTGGTTGTTGTAGAAAGTTATTTGGGTGATAGATTGGCTCTCGATCCCTATAACCTATTTTACAATTTTCTATTTTCCACACACGATAATGATGGTTAATGTAATCTGTGAAAAGTAAAATATTTGTGATTTTATATTGGTGTTTATCCACTTTTAATTATTAGATTAATTATTTAAATTTCTAGTTTGGTGGAAAACTTGAAAACAAGCATTTACCTTAATTATCATAACAATAAAAGCACGTTGTTAAATGAAGAAGATGAAAAAGAAGTAACATGAATTGTAGGAACAAAATGACAAGTGAAGGCCTGAATATTGAATTACAGATTTTATCCTAAATATGTCTTAAAACATGGCAAACTAGTTTATAAAACAAACGTTTGTCTATTAGTAAATCTAATTTTTAAAATTAAATTTAATATATAAAATGATTACATGAATAGATAACTTATTGAAGTGTTTATGAAATTATGCAATTTATAACTATGAGAAAAATACATATCTCAAACATTAATACTATTTATGAATTTCCTAATCAATTCAAGAATTTAAATTTGAATAGAGCTAATCAACTAAAAAAAAGTAGTTGTTACCAATCCCTAAATTTCTCTTCTTTGCAAACTTTTCCAATCAATTAATATTGTTGGCTTAAGTCTTCTTGGAGAGAACGGGGTTAATGTCCCTTCTTCTTATTTGTGCATATACTTGAAAAGTCTTTCACAAACTTGTCCAATCAATCTGTCAATAAAAGACATAACTAGTATAGGACAGCAGGTAGCTGTGATTGAAATCATTTCTCAAATATGGTACTATATTTAGTATAGGATATATATTTGGTATAACATAAAAAAAGTATATCGAATATATCAAATATTTTATTATTTAATAAATAATAAATATTTTAAAATTAATATATTCATTTAAATTTAATATTAATTGATTATAGTAAAATCAGATACCTTAAAATATCAAATCTTGGTGTCACTTAAGTTAATTTATTTTTTCAGTTTGATTATTTTTTTTTTTGTACCGACCTCTCGATATCTGATAACTATATTAGATTTCGACTAATTCAGAATTGAGTCGCATCAAACCCTTCAAAGAAAGAAGCCCTCTCAATGCTTGTTTTTCCATTTACAATACTCAAACTCAAAATTTTATTTAAAAAAAACAAAACTCTTTTCACTCATACCAACAAATTATTTGTTCAATTTGATTAGTTAGATCACT